CATAACCAGGTAGTTTCATTAGGAAGGACATTACATTATAGAATAACATCTAGTTGCAGAACCATTAATCACAGTATAAAATATGAGAATGATTGCTGCACCTATGTCTGTATAAACAGCATGTTAACAATATCACTTTGCTCTATACTTCTGTATGTTAGCAAACAGTGTGTTTAAGGCTAATATACATGGACCAAAAATCAGCCATTTCAGCAGGAACCAGCCAAATTTAGCTCTGTGTGCACCACTGTCTGTTCAACAGAGTCTGCCTGTCAGAATACAGTAGAACAGCGGGAGACATCCCTGCATCAACATTGCTTGTGTTGATGCATGAATCTGTGAGATTTCTTTTTTTGTTCAACCTGCTAGTAACAAAAAAAAAACTCACACTGTATACCCTGCTTTAGATTGACAACACTGTGCAATATACACTGCTCAAAAAATAAAGGAACACTTTATTCAGAGTATATCATCAAGTCAATTAAACTCCTGGGATAGTGATCTGGTCAGTTACTTAGCAGAGGGGGTTGTTAATTAGTTTCATCTGCTTTGGTGGTACTACTGCTAGGTGAACTAGATGGGCAACAATGAGATGACCCCCAAAACAGGAATGGTTTTACAGGTGAAGGCCACTGACTTTTTCTACTCATCTTTTATGACTGTTTTTCACTAGTTTTGCATTTGGCTAGGGTCAGTGCCACTACTGGTAGCATGAATCGATACATGGAACCTACAGAGGTTGCACAGGCAGTCCAACTCCTCCAGGATGGCACATCAATATGTGCCATTGACAGAAGGTTTGCTTGTCTCCTAGCACAATCTCAAGAGTATGGCAGAGATTCCAAGAGACAGGCAGTTACTCTAGGAGAGCTGGAGAGGGCCGTAGAAGGTCCTTAACCCATCAGCAGGACCGGTATCTGCTTCTTTGTGCAAAGAGGAACAGGATGAGCAATGCCAGAGCCCTACAAAATGACCTCCAACAGGCCACTGCTATGAATGTCTCTGACCAAACAATCAGAAATGGACATCATGAGGGTGGCCTAAGGGCCCAACATCCTCTAGTGGGCCCCGTTCTCACTGCCTGGCACCATAGAGCTCGATTGGCATTTGCCATTGAACACCAGAATTGGCAGGTCCACCACTGGCGCCTTGTACATTTCACAGATGACAGCAGGTTCACCCTGGGCACATGTGACAGATGTGAAAGGGTCTGGAGAAGCTGTGGAGAATGTTATGCTGCCTGCAACATCATTCAGCATTACCGTTTTGGTGGTGGGTCAGTGATGGTCTCTGGAGGCCTATCCATGGAGGGATGCACAGCAGGCTAGACAATGTCACCCTGATTGCTATTAGGTATCAGGATGAAATCCTTGGACCTATTGTCAGACCCTATGCTTGTGCAGTGGGTCCTGGATTCCTCCTGGTGCACGACAATGCCCAGTCTCATGTGGTGAGAGTATGCAGGCAGTTCCTGGAGGATGAAGGAATTGATACCATTGAATGGCCCCCATGCTCTCCTGACCTAAATCCAATAGAACACCTCTGGGATATCATGTTTTTGTCCATCTGACACTGGCAGGTTGCACCTCAGACTGTCCAGGAGTTTAGGGATTCCCTGGTCCAGATCTGGGAGGAGATACCCCAGGACACTATCTGCTGTCTCATTAGGAGCATGCTCTGACGTTGTCAGGCATGCATACAAGCATGTGGGGGCCATACAAACTACCATTCTGAGTTACTGCAAACAAATTTCAGCAAAATGGACTAGCCTGCTGTATAGTTTTTTCACTTTGATTTTCGGGGTGTCTTTGAATTTAGTCCTCTGTAGGTTGATCATTTTAATTTCCATCAAATGCTGGGGCATCCTTATGTTCCTAACACATTACATTAACACACTCCATAGAAGTATAGATATCCATCATGATATTTTTCCCATTGAGATCTGATGTGTTTTCAAAGTGTTTCTTTCATTTTTTTGAGCAGTGTAGCTGATTCAAAAAGGTACCTATTTCTCTTGCAGTCTGTCTATCACTCTACTCATCAACTACTTCTCACATAAGCTTCATTTCTTTTGGAGCTTTTCAAATGTTGGCTTTGATAGTGGTTTTCTATAGCATATGCTATTATCCTACTAGTTTCAGGTCAACTATTATTTTATCAGTTGAAGCACAATCACATTATGTCCCACAAGGTCTTAGAAGTAATGGTACTTGCATCAATGTGCTTGGTTCTAGCATTGATCTTTTCTGCCTTTGCAAGCTTTGTACATCCTTGTTTGACCTCAAAGAAATCTGCTGGCTGAGACATTGGTTCTTCAAGATCTTCAAGTGGGGTGCCGCAACCTAATGATTTCTTGACAAGCATAAGCTGACAAGATGTATTCAGTTTCTGTAGAAAATAATGCCACTGAGATTTGCTTTCTGCTGGACCACAATACTGGCTAGTGCTTAATTGTAACAAGTAATCATGAACTCACTTGCTTATGTCTTGAGTCTGTTTTAGGTACTGCTTGATTTTAATTGCATTTTCAGTCCCTTTGTGCAGGTTTATTTATACATATTTGGAGTAATTACATGGCAGCTCCTATATTTGGTTGTGTTGTGGTTACAATGTATAAAAGTCCCCTGTTCCTTTGTACTGTCCATCGTTAGGTAGAAGATCTTCTTCCATCTTTAGGTAAGGCTGGCCATAGGAGAGTCAAAAACTGAATGTTCTATCGATCAAAAACCATAAATACAATTGTGCCATCATTTGTTTAGTTTTTATAAACAAAATCCAGCATGTTTGATCAGGTCCTTTAGTTGAAACACGAAAATCATGTGTTACAGCTGGTACACTAATGATGCAAAAAACGAATGACCAAAAATTTCCTTCAGTTTTCAACTCATTTATGGCCTGCTTAATCTGCTTCCATTGATGTGCTTACACCCTTGAATTCTGCCATGCTAAACTGTTTAAGTATCATATTATTTTTAAAACTTTGATTTAACAGGAAGTTTCCAACTTCCTCACACTGTGTTTGACTATCTAGGTAGCAGGGCACACCTCTCAGATCCTTAATTTCTGAAGTTTCCTCATCTTCTTTGTGAGGAATAACCAAGCCATCAACAGAAAACACACCCTCTTCCCATATGTATTGTGACATTATGAAAGGCGAGGTGATTGATGGACGCTGTGTCACCTCGCATGTGGTCTAGGACATTAAGGTGCAGTCCAGTCCGGGTTTTCCAGGTCACTATGGCAGAGGTGGTTTCCAGACCGGTTTTTGTTGTCCATTGATGATCACCAGCAGGTGGTATAAATAAGGCAGGACTGGAGCAAGAAGTTGCTCTTGGCCTTGGACTCAGAGAGCCATATCTGAATGAGCTGTGGATGAAAGTTTGCATTGTACAAGAAAGGAAAAGGTTTGCATACCGTTTTGATTTTGTTGGTGACAGGGAGAAGCCCTTCACCGGTGAGATAGGAATCTCCTGTGTTTAGTTAGTGCCTGGATGGCGAGGGTTTATTTTCTGTTTTGTTTATGATGCTTGCAACCTTTTAAATAAAACTGATGCCAAGTCAGATTTTAAGAAAGCCCTGCTGTCTGGACTACCTTTTTTCCCAGGGAAGGTGATCCCCCACCCGAGCTACCCCTACAGTATATTATTATTATTATTATACAGTATTTATATAGCGCCAAAGGGTATGCTCAGCGCTGTACAGTAGCAAGGGGGACAGAACATGAGACAAAACAGTAACAATACAATACACGAGGGGTTTGAGGGCCCTGCTCTTTCGAGTTTACAATCTAGGAGGGAGGGGAAAGTGGTACAGGAGGAAATGGCTGTGGGGGATGGAGTGGTGGGAGGAGTGGAGGAGGTTAGTTGTTAGGTGAGGTCAGGTGTTAGGTGAGGTTGGGGTAGGCTTCCCTGAAGAGATGGGTTTTCAGGGTGCGCCTGAAGGTGAGGAGGGTAGGTGACAGTATGATGGATTGGGGTAGGGAGTTCCAGAGGATGGGGGAAGTCCCAGAGAAGTCGTGCAATCGGGCATGGGAGGAAGAGACCAGGGAGCTAGAGAGTAGGAGGTCCTGTGAATTTATTTAGAATATAGACATGGCTCAGATTTGCCTCTTGTGAAACCTTTAGCCAACAAGACTTTATTGATTTTTTTAATTCTATGCTGTAGCTAATTGTTTGAGTCCATAAATGAAATGTACCTTACAAACAAAATGTTGTTCTCCAGCTTTTATATATCCTTTTGTTTGTCTCATATGCAGCTCCTCCTGTCACTTTTAGGAAAGGCTCTTTTAATGTCATACTGTTTAAAGTCAGCAAGATTTGTAAAGTACTCTGTTTTGCAACTAGAGGAAAAGTGATATCACAGTCTTCACCATACTTGTGTGAGTTTCCATTTGAAACTAGTCTTGCTCTGTATCTATGGGCTTTATTTTTGGAGTCATAATAGCTTTAAAAACCCATTTACATCCAGTTGCATGTTTGCTTGTCCGTTCCTAAGCTTGCTTTCCATGAACAGTGTGTTGGTGGTTAATTATTGTTCTGTGCTGGTTAATTATAGTGCGGTGCTGGTGGTTAGTTATTGTGCTGTGGTGGTGGGTAATTTTTGTGCTGTTTCCAAGGGTAAATTATTGTACAATACTGAGGGTAATTTTTCTGATCTGTCCTGGGGGTTAATGCTGGCCCATTAATGAAGCAATAATTTATGCCTTATGACCTTTTTTCTTTTTCAGAGACTCTGCTGCTGCTCTCAACTGTATCTGGAGCGATGTTAATCACTGTGGCTTTAGTAGGGCCTATACCTTCTTTGAAAGGTGCTGCAGTTATGACTCTTACCAGTCAAGACTGCGCTTGACAAATGGATGAGCCCTTCTTATTTTTTTGAAAACAACAGAAATACAGAGACAGAAAATTATATCATAATCACTTAGTTATTGTAATTCCAATAGAATTAAGATTACATTATACAAAATGCTACCACCTAATGGCATAACTATTTATCGCAGAATACTATATTGCCAAAAGTATTGGGACACCCCTCCAAATTATTGGATTCAGGTGTTCCAATCACCTTCATGGCTGCAGGTGTATAAAATCAAGCACTTAGGTATGCAGACTGCTTCTACAAACATTTGTGAAATAATGGGTTACTCCCCAGGAGCTCAGTAAATTCAAGCATGGTACCATGGCAGGTTGCCACCTGTGCAATAAGTCCATCCATGAAATTTCCTTGCTACTAAATATTCCACGGTCAACTGATAGTGGTGTTATAACAAAATCGAAGCAACTGGGAACAGTAACTCAGTCACAAAGTGGTAGGCCACCTAAAATGACAGTGCGGGGTCAGCGCATGTATGCAAGTCACCAACTGTCTGCAGAGTCAATAGCTAAAGACCTTCAAACTTTGTCTGCCCTTCAGATTAGCACAACAACCGTGCATAGAGAGCATCATGGAATGGGTTTCCATGGCCGAACAGCTGCATCCAAGCCTTACATCACCAATGCAAAGCGTCAGATGCAGTGGTGTAAAGCGTGCCACCACTAGACTTTAGAGCAGTGGAGACATGTTCTATGGAGTGATGAATCACACTTCTCTGTCTGGCAATCTGATGAACGTGTCTGGGTTTTGCGGTTGCCAGGAGAATGGTACTTGCCTGACTGCATTGTGCCAAGTCTAAAGTTTGGTGGAGGGTGGATTATGGTGTGGGGTTGTTTTTCAGGGGTTGGGTTTGGCCCCTTAATTTCAGTGAAAGAGAACTCCTAAGGCTTCAGCATACCAAAACATTTTGGACAATTTCATGTTCCCAACTTTGTGGGAACCATTTTGGGATGGCCCCTTCCTGTTCCAACATGACTGCACACCAGTGCACAAAGCAAGATCCATAAATACATGGATGGTGAGTTTGGTGTGGAGGAACTTGACTGGCCTGCAGAGAGTCCTGACCTCAACCCAATAGAACACCTTTGGGATGAATTAGAGTGGAGACTACGAGGTAGGTCTCACAAATGTGCTTCTTGAATAATGGTCAAACATTTAGATAAACACCCTGCTAAACCTTGTGGACAGCCTTCCCAGAAGAGTTGAAGCTGTTATAGCTGCAAAGGGTGGGCCAACTCAATATTGAACCCTATGGACTAAGACTGGGATGCCATTGCTGTTCAAGTGTATGTAAAGGTAGGCCCAATACTTTTAGCAATATAGTGTATACTGTATTAGAATAGTTGTTGCATTTATGTCTGTATAAACAGCATGCTAACATGTCACTTTGCGATCTCCTCCTGTACAGTAGTGCTCAAAAGTTTGAAAAACATGAGTGAGCAGACAGAACACATTTCTTTTTTATTTTATGGGTTCATATTCAACTGTAGGACATAACAGAATGACACAATCATAAAACAAAACATGGCAACGAGTAAACAAATTAAATGACCCCTGTTAAAAAGTCTGTATACTCTTAGTTCTTAAAATGATATTAAAGGCAATTTGAAAAAAAAAAAAACAAAAACAAATATGTCATACTTAACTGCTTTGTGCAGTTGTTTTGCGCAGAGCAGCCCCAATCCTCCTTTTCTTGGGTCCCCCATTGGAACTCCTTGCCCCTCCCTCCTGCCAAGTGCCCCCAGAACAAGCTGCTTGCTCTGGGGGCACCTGAGCAGGCTTGCACCCAAGCCACTGGTCTGAATGTCCATTCACACATGGAGCCAAGGCTTGGCCCCGACCCACCCTTTCTCTTTCCTCATTGGCTCACTGGCTGTGATTGAGCCTTTGGCTACTGCTGCTGTCTCAGTCAATGAAGATGGAGAGTCCTCAGAGAGCCAAGGCTCTTGTGCACATTGCTGGATAGTGATGGGGCTCAGGTAAGTATTAGGGGGGTTGGGGGGGAACTGCTGCACCCAGAACATTTTTTATCTTTATGCATCAAAATCTTGAGCCTTTTTACAACAAATTTAATACTGTGTATTGCCTCCTTTAGCAAGAATGACAGCATGCAGTCTTTTGTAATGGTTGTCTATGAGGCTCAGAATTCTTGCAGGTGGTATAGCTGCCTATTCGTCTTAGCAAAATGCCTTCAGGTCATGCAAAGTCTTGGATGAAATGCATGTCTGAGATCTCGCCAGAGTGGTTTGATGATATTAAGGTCAGGAGACTTATATGATCACTCCAGAACCCTCATCTTTTTCTGCTGTAAACACTGAAGAGTTAACTTGCCCTTGTGATTAGGGTCATTGTTGTGCTGGAAAGTCCAAGAGCGTCCCATGCGTAGCTTTCGTGCAGAAGAATGCAAATTGTCTGCCAGTATTTTCTGATAACATGCTGCATTCATCTTGCAACCGATTTTCAAGATTCCCCATGCCTTTAAAGCTCACACAAAACATCAGTGAGCCACCACCATGTTTTACAGTGGGATGTATTCTTGTCCCGATAAGTCTTGTTGACCCCTCTCCAAAAATGGTTGTGACTATAAATCTCTATTTTGATCTCATCACTCCAGATTATGGTTTGCCAGAAGCTGTACGGCATGTCAAGGTGTTGTTGGGCATATGTGGAATTGGTGCAGTAAAGGCTTCTTTCTGGCAACTTGACCATGCAGCTAATTTTTGTTCAAGTATCCTCATTAGAGATGAGCGAATTATTCAAAAATTTGATTCGGCTGATTCGCCGAATTTGCGGAATAAATTTGATTCGCTGCGAATTTATTCGCTGCAAATTTAACTTATTAAAAGGGTTTCTAGGCTTCAGAGAGCCTTTATATTAGTGCAGAACACTGTACCTTTAATTTAAATGCCCTTGGAGTCTGCTGGGGAAGAGAAATAATACTGTCAGTCAGTATGACATGCAGATGAGTGCCGTCGATCTTAGAATCACCGCACACTTCACTCATTTGGGCAGTCACGGGGCCAAAACCAGAGTGTGGAGCCACAGTGTGGCGGTGGAGGCAGCAGCAATGGGAGGCCATACAGCACCCTATCACAAAATGGAACCCACCAGCAGTGTGAGGAGACCTGAAAGTGGCACATGGCAGAGTGTGGCGATGGAGACAGCAGCAATGGGAGGCCGTACAGGGACCCATGACACACTCTGGACCTGGCAGCAGCATGAGGAGGCGGTACAGGGGCCCATGGCAGAGTGGCGAAGCGTAAGCAGCTTAAATTGAAGGCCATACAGAGGCCTATGTTAAAAAGTCCCCCCAGCAGCAGTGTGGGGAGACGACTATCAAGAGTCCAATGGCAGAGTGGCGGAGCAGAAGCAGCTTCAATTGAAGGCCATACACAGGCCTAGGTTAAAAAGTCCCCCCAGCAGCAGCGTGGGGAGACGACTATCAAGAGTCCAATGGCAGAGTGGCGGAGCGGAAGCAGCTTCAATTGAAGGCCAATAGTGGTTGTGAAGCAGAAAGTCAGTTTATTGTACACAATCGGTCAATTGCAGCTTGCCGTTGGCTGTAAACTGTACGTTTGTGTCACTGGAATGCACTAATCACCCAAAAAATATTACCGCCAGCCGGCGTGTAAATGGATTTAACTCTTTGAACGTACAATAGTGGTTGTGAAGCAGAAAGTCAGTTTATTTTGCACAATCGGCAAACTGCAGCACCAACTGTGCACGACAGCCACCAAAAAAAAAAAAGGGTGTATGTCACTTTAAATTTTCGATTCTTTGATAGCTGTGGCCCTAAGTAACGATTCTGTGTCCCTGAGTAACGATTCTGTGTCCCTGAGTAATGATTCTGTGTCCCTGAGTAACGATTCTGTGTCCCTGAGTAACGATTCTGTGTCCCTGAGTAACGATTCTGTGGCCCTAAAGTCTCTGTGGCCCTAATGCAGGCCATAGATGGGTCAAAAATCGGCCGATTTTTCGGCCGAAAATAAAATCGGCCGATTTTCGGATCGTTAGTGGGCTATTTGGTCGGCCGTTTTTCGGTATTTTGGCGGGGTTTTTTTTTTCTGTAAAGTTGGGGAAAAAAATCGGCCGATTTTGCCGATCGGCCAATTTTCGCGGCAATAGTGGGCAAATCGCACGATTTTTTGCCGATAAAAAATCTGCGCATGAGCAGTGACCTGCAAGAGGAAGACAAAAAGAAGAAAAAGAAGAAGAGGAAGAGGATGAAGAAGAGGATGAAGAAGAAGAAGAGTAAGAAGAGGATGAAAAAAGAAGAGGATGAGGAAGAAGAAGAAGAAGAAGAAGAGGAAGAGGATGAGGAAGAAGAGATGAGGATGAGGAGAAGAAGAGAAGAAGATGAGAGATGAGGATGAAGAAGAAGAAGAAGAAGAAGCAGAAGAAGAAGAAGAGGAGGATGAGGATGAAGAAGAAGAGGATGAGATGAGGAAGAAGAAGAAGAGGATGAGGCTGAAGAAGAAGAAGAAGAAGAAGAAGAGGATGAGGATGAAGAAGAGGATGAGGATGAAGAAGAAGAAGAGGATGATGGTGAGGAAGAAGAAGAAGAAGAAGAGGATGAGGATGATGATGAAGAAGAAGAAGAAGAAGAAGAGGAGGATGAGGATGAAGAAGAAGAAGAAGAAGAGGATGAAGAAGAAGAAGAGGATGAGGATGAAGAAGAAGAGGATGAAGATGAAGAAGAAGAGGATGAGGATGAAGAAGAAGAAGAGGATGAGGATGAAGAAGAAAAAGAAGAAGAAGAAGAGGATGAGGATGAGGAAGAAGAAGAAGAGGATGAGGATGAAGAAGAAGAAGAAGAAGAAGAAGAGGATGAGGATGAAGAAGAAGAAGAAGAAGAAGATGAGGATGAAGAAGAAGAAGAAGAGGATGAGGATGAGGAAGAAGAAGAAGAAGAAGAAGAGGATGAGGAAGAAGAAGAAGAGGGTGAGGATGAAGAAGAGGATGAGGATGATGAAGAAGAAGAAGAGGATGATGGTGAGGAAGAAGAAGAAGAAGAAGAAGAAGAAGAAGAAGAAGAAGAAGAAGAGGATGAGGATGATGAAGAAGAAGAAGAAGAAGAAGAAGAAGAGGAGGAGGATGAGGATGAAGAAGAAGCGGAAGAAGAAGAAGAAGAAGAAGAAGAAGAAGAGGATGAAGAAGAAGAGGATGAGGATGAAGAAGAAGAAGAGGATGAGGATGAAGAAGAAGAAGAAGAGGATGAGGATGATGAAGAAGAAGAGGATGAGGATGAAGAAGAAGAAGAGGATGAGGATGAAGAAGAAAAGAAGAAGAGGATGAGGATGAGGAAAAAGAAGAAGATGAGGATGAGGATGAAGAAGAAGAAGAAGAGGATGAGGATGAAGAAGAGGATGAGGATGATGAAGAAGAATAGGATGATGGTGAGGATGAGGATGATGATGAAAAAGAAGAAGAAGAAGATGAGGATGAGAAGAAGAAGAAGAAGAAGAGGATGAGGATGAAGAAGAAGAAGAAGAGGATGAGGATGAAGAAGAGGATGAGGATGATGAAGAAGAAGAGGATGATGGTGAGGATGAGGATGATGATGAAGACGAAGAAGAAGAAGAAGAAGAAGAAGAAGAGGATGAGGATGAAGAAGAAGAAGAGGATGAGGATGAAGAAGAAGAAGAGGATGAGGATGAAGAAGAAGAAGAGGAT